AGAGCTGGGACAGCTGGGACAGAGCTGGGATAGAGCTGGGACAGAGCTGGGATAGAGCTGGGACAGAGCTGGGACAGAGCCGGGACAGCTGGGACAGAGCTGGGACAGAGCTGGGATAGAGCTGGGACAGCTGGGATACACCTGGGATAGAGCTGGGTGGGGGGAGACACACCTGGGACACACCTGGGGGTGCACCTGGGATATACCTGGAGGGGGGAGATACACCTGGGGGAGGGGAGACACTCCTGGGATACACCTGGGATATACCTGGGATACACCTGGGTGGGGGAGAGACACCTGGGACACACCTGGGTGGGGGAGACATACCTGGCATACACCTGGGATACACCTGAAGGGGGGAGACACACCTGGGATACACCTGGTTGGGTGGAGACACACCTTGGTGGGAGGACACACACCTTCAACACACCTGGGTGGGGGGAGACACACCTGGGACACATCTGAGACACCCCCAGACACACCTGAGACACACTTAGGTGGGAGAAATCACCTGGGACACGCCTGTGGTACACCTGGGACAGACCTGGTTGGTGGGGACACACCTGGAATACACCTGAGATACACCTGGGGTAGTCACAGACTTGGCTGGACACACCTGGGCGGGGCAGGACACACCTGGGGACGCACACCTGGAGGCCTGGGCTGGTTGTCAGGAGGTGCTGGCTACCTGGGGGAGCCTGGCGGGGCTCAGGTGTGTGAGGCGGGGCTCAGGTGTGTGAGGCGGGGCTCGGGGGGGTCTCAGGTACCTGTGGCTCAGGTGTGCTGTCCCCAGGCCCGCTGCTGGAGGACTGGGACATCATCAGCCCGCGGGAGGTGGCGGCGGCCGAGCCGGTGCCCGAGCGCCGCTCGCTGCTGGCGGCGGCCCTGCCCTTCACCCAGGCGCTGCTGGCACAGGTGAGCGCACCTGGCACAGGTGAGGCATGCCTGGCGCAGGTGAGGCACACCTGGCACAGGTGAGCACACCTGGCACAGGAGCACTCCTGGCACAGGAGCACACCTGGCACAGGTGAGCACACCTGGCACAGGAGCACACCTGGCGCAGGTGAGGCACTCCTGGCACAGGAGCACGCCTGGCGCAGGTGAGGCACACCTAGCACAGGTGGGGCACTCCTGGCACAGGAGCACACCTGGCACAGGTGAGGCACACCTAGCACAGGTGAGGCACTCCTGGCACAGGAGCACACCTGGCGCAGGTGAGGCAGTCCTGGCACAGGTGGGGCACACCTAGCACAGGAGCAC